TATTTAATAACGTTGACTATATATGTGTATGTGTAGTTATTCAACAAAATTGTAGTAAATAGAAAAAACACGTAGTTGCAGAAACTACTCAGCTTGCTATGGGATTTAAGGGGTTGATTCTGCTTGGTTTAGAAAAAATTATCAATATTTATTTCTCTTAATTTCCAAAATTTAAGGAACACAGCTTGGGGAGTGATGTGCCTTTGAAGAACCCAGATAGAAGTGTGTCTTCTTTTGCGATGCAACTGAAGTATGCGGACAGCCATGAATTTCCTAACGGAAAATCTGCTCGAAGGTTAGATGGTTTCTTCAATACAGATCAAGGTTGTCTACGTGTTGATGGAGTAAGAGACACCCTAGAAGATGAATTTAAGGATCTTGGAACTGTTTTTAAAGAGCTAGGTTTTTACATGATGGATTTAGGACTGTTTATTGCACGAATATGTGATAAGGCTATTGGTGGCCATGAATTGGAGCAAAGCTTATTGGAGTCATGTGCAGCAAAAGGGCGGCTTATACATTACCATTTGGCTCAAGATACACTTATACTGAAAGAAGCTGGGGAAAAGAAGGGATCTGCCAAAAGAACCACTACTAAGAGAGGACACCAGGAATACTTGGTAAGGAATGATCAAACACCATCAGAAGGGTATAACTTAGATTTGGACAGCAACAAGGTTGGAACACATGGAATTTATTCCGATCTGTGGCAGCAGTGGCATTATGACTATGGTATTTTCACTGTTCTGACCGATCCCATGTTTCTTGCGCAATCTTCTTGCTTATCATCAACAATGTCGGACGATGAGCTTTTAATAACTAGTAGTACAGAATGTGATTGGCCAAGGGACCATTCATATTTGCAAATTTATCATGCCAGCAAGAACAAGCTTCTAATGGTGAAGTCCTCCCCTGGAAGTTTCATAATTCAGGTTGGGGAATCTGCTGATATCTTATCAAAAGGGAAGCTATTCTCAACCCTTCACTGTGTACGCCGACCAACAAAGATGGAGAATATAAGCCGGGAAACTTTTGTTGTTTTTCTTCAACCAGCATGGAGCAAAACTTTCTCAATTTCAGATTACCCCATGGAACACTGCAACTTAGGCACTCAGTATTCAGGGGTATCTTGTGAAGGAAATCACCTTGAGGAGCTGGAGCTAAACGAGTTAGCTCAAGAAATTAAAAAGATTGTGCCACCTCTTTTATCAAGACTGAAGGATGGTATGACATTTGCAGAATTCTCACGTGAAACTACCAAGAAATACTACGGCAGTAGCGGTCTGCAGTCCAACAATAAAAGTGTTCTCTAAATATCCGCGTGTATCGGAAAAAATATTGTAGTAAGGTTTCCATTTTTCCCTTAAATAGTTTGAGGATTCTCTGGTAGGGATGGTAAGACTATGTTTGGGACAAGTGAACTTCATTTGAAAATACACAGTATAACTGTAATAAGATGAGTATCCCTTTCAAGAAAATTAACATTTTAGAGAGAATTCCATGTGGAGTTGAAATACGATATTTCAAAGTCTATCAATTTTAACTGAATTTGGAACACATTTTTCCAATTTCACTTTAAATTTTCTACCCGATAAAATTTATCACTGTTAAGACATCTTTTATCTTCTCATAGTTGAACTAACTGTGGATTTCCACGTAAATTCCATAATCGAAGCTTAAGTGCCCCAAACAAAGCCTAAATCTCATGCTTTGAAGTCTGAGGCTGAGATGAAACTGGTGTCGCTGAAAATTTAGTTTATTTAATGGTGTACCGTGAGTCATCTTTGTATCAGTTGTCTTTTGATCTGCTTCTAGTTCGAGTTTTCATTTGTTTTGTTGCATTTGAGTGAGCCTTGCAGTAGATAAGCAAAGGACACTGCACATAAACATGTTTTGACGCACTATCTGCTAATGTTCTGCTGTCTCAGTGGTCTTATTAAGGATGATATTTAAGACTCCATGATCTCACCCAAGAAAGCTTCAGGTGGTGGCATTATTGTTATTACCATTATTTATTTATTATTTTTATTGAATAGAAAAGTGGTGATATATTCCCAGTGAGCACTGATCGGCAGGGGGACAGAATGAATGCAATCTGGATATGACAGAGAATAATTGAAAGCTGCTTGTACTAGGAGTCATCTCCAAATTGAATTCTGGTGGAGTCTTCGGCTTATTGTTGGTTGGATTGATTAAGTCCTTTTAATTTACTAGCATTACTCTTGCTTTTGTATTATCTAAAAATATGCAGAAATATACAATTTGTAGGTGATTAAATTATAAAAGATTTGGGGGTGTCAAACTGTCTCGAGTTTCTGCCCGATTTGCATTAAGGTTTGTAGCAGTGCGTTTATGGAATCATCAGTTGTCATTCTGACCTTGAGGTGAGTACATCTCAATCAATCTCTGAAATATGGAGTTTACTAATTTCTCAGGCTTTGTTTGGAAGAAATAAATTTTGTATGTGGAATTCATTTAATGATTATTAATTATTTAACTATGAAAGAGTGACAGATATCTAACAAAAAATGATAAGAAACTTAGTCCCTACCCAAGTCCATTTCAAATTGTATAGGAGTTAAATTTCTACGGTTTTGTGAGAATCTCCACTCTCTTGTACGTTAAAATAAGTGTAGATTTTCAGATTTAGTTCGACGAACAAAATTCATTTGTTCCAAACCCATGGCTTTCAGTCTTAAAAGTTGGGAAGAACAAGTGAGATGGAAAACAAACATGGAATTTTCATCAGTGGGGTGGAGAGAAGTATTCTGGGTACAAGGAATTATTAGTACCCTATGTTGCTAAGAAAGTTGGTCTTATAAGTCACATTCAAATTCTGGAAGTACCATGCTTCCCAGATTTAAACGTGCAGATTATGTAAGTAAAATATTGAATATTGCTCATTGAACGGTCAGGATTTGACACATTCATCAAATGGTTTTATTAAAATTTTCCAGTTATTATTTGCACAAGGCGAGGGAAGTGGACCATGTCTTAGATGCCTGTAGATATTGTTTGTCCCGCAATAATTGTAGCAGGCTGTTGCTTAAACAGTTTTATCAGGATACTCCTAAGTCCCTGGCAGCTGCATGTATTGTCCCCCAATGGCTGAATACACCAAGTCTGGCATTGGCTTGATGGGTCGCTATTTGTACCTTTCAAATGTCCCCCATGCAATGAAGTAGCTTGTCAGAAACATCTAACCAAACCCCTCTAGCATGCATGTATTTCTCTCTTCCGTACTAAAAATTCTTGTTAATGCATGACATTAGGATGATTATAATTCAACCCGTTAAACCCATTTTTAATTATTGCAGGTGATAATTGAATTTTGGTTGCTGGAAATCCCTAGGCACAGAGGCCAGAGGAGGAGATTCCTAAAGGCATTGCAAAATGTGAGTGTTACTCTTTAGTGCATGTGAGATAGAACAACTTTTAGCCATCCAGAGCTGCTGCTAAATTAGTCTTCTTCTTTTTCCCTTCCTGCTTTGTTAAAGTTGAGTTTCTTCTTCTGCTCATTTTGATTTATGAGAGTTTGAAACATATCTTTTTGTCCCAGTCTCGATTAAAGGATAAAAGTTCATCTTCCCAAATCAAGATTAGACCCATTAAAGAGAAGTGTTAGATTATCTTGATGGGATATTTCACATAGTTAAAAAACTTGGAAGTACTTTGTATTACTAGTACTTTAGAAAGGGTAGAGAGAGAAACAGAGGGGGGGGAGAGTTTTGGGTATTTCAAAGTTCTAACAAAGTCTCTGTAATCAAAATTAGTTAGAAATCCAATGATTAACATCTAATTCTCCATGATTAAAGTGAACATTTGAAATAGGGATATGTGAATCAAGCAAAGAGAATAAAGGGTGTCACTTTAGTCAGTGGTCACCAAGCCAAAAACAAAAGATCACAAAAAGAAAAAGCTGTTTCTCTTATTTTCTTCTTTCCAACTTTTGCTCAGAGAAGGAAGACAAGAAACAAAAAAAAAAAAAAAAAAACAAAAAAGAAGCAAAAGATCAAAATATAAATTTTTTTTTAAGAAAAAGAAGTATGAAAGAAGAATTGGATTTATAGGGTTTGGTCTGTGTTAATTAGAGAAATAGAAGGGGGAGAAAAGAAAGTGAAGATCAAAAGAGAGAGATGGTGACGTAACCTAGCACGCGCATTCTAGCAAGAGGTCCCTCTTGACTTGCGCAGCTTTGTGTTGTGCCCTAAACTGTAGCAAGCTTAGTTTTTGGTTCTGATTAAAACTTTGTCGTTTTATTCAAGTTTCATAATCTTGTCGGCCTCAGATACTACCAACACCTTAGGCGCCTAAGACAGTTCCCATTCACTAGTTTTCCCAAGCTGCTGTTTTGCATCGAGGTATCAAATATCCCACCTCATCTTACTTGAATAGTTCTGTAAAACTATTGAAAGGTGATATAGCAAGTGATAATATATAAAAAGAAGTTTATATTCTGTTTGTATAAATCCTTATCACCAACAATATGTCTAATACCACTCGACAGAAATACCCATGTGGTAGGATGTGTGTCCATATGAGCATTATGTTTTAAAAGTACTGTTAGCGAGACTCGTATCTGGTTAGCTTTTATCATTACTAGTTTACTTTTTTACATACTTCTAGTATGTCGTTTAAGTTTGGTTACGATGTTTAAATGAAAGTTGAAAAACATTGAATCGATAATGTCGGTATAGAGATATAGAAATTGAGAGAGAAAAAATAGGAAAAGGGTTACCAATGTGACCATCTTGGAGGCACGTTTTTATATTTGTTTTAAACTAGAATAAGGAATGGTAATTATTAAGGGAGCATGCATGTAGGGTGTTTTTAATAATAACTCATGTATTTTATTAATTACATAACATATATACATATAAATAATAATATATTTACTACAAAAAACATGTTTAACCCAATTTTTTTATCCAAACTTCAGTCCAAAATTCAAACCAAATCCTTCAAAAAGAAAAAAAAAAAGAAAAGCAAAGACATACAAAGTTAGGCTCCCAGCCATGATTAATCAAGTTTGTTCTCATTAATGCCTTGTCTTATGTTGTTTATTGCATTCTACTTTTGGGTATTAACCAATAATACAACTCCATTTTAAAAACTGGGCTCGCCAAAAGACAATGACATGTGTCATCCTAAAAGTAGATGACCCACATGCCCTCTTCACAACCTTATGCCAGAACCCGATCCGACTTTTCCCATCATTGACCATAACACTCCCCCCTCCCCTCCCCCTCTCCCAACCTCCTCGTGTATGTATATATATATAGACGAATACACACATAAACCTCAAACTTCTTCCCTCCCAAGAACATTTCAAGTATTGGGTTTTGGGTTTCTTGTTCATTTTCTTCTTCGTTTGCTTTTTCTTTTTGGTGTAAAATGGAGGAAAATCGTCTCAATCCCATCAACATGATGAGTGTAAGAAGGGCGGAGTTCTTGCTGGGCGGCTCCGGTGGGTCGTCGCAGTTGCCGGAGAGCCCGAGAGGGCCGATGGAGTTCTTGTCTCGGTCGTGGAGTGCGTCGGCCTTGGAGGTTTCCAAAGCCCTGCACCACCACCAGCCTCCTTGCATTCTATCCATGGTTCCATCTAACAAGTCTACTTCTACTAGCACCACTACCTCCTCATCTATACCTGAAGAAATTAGTGGAGACTGTGAAGAAATCCCTAATGGAAATGACCGGAGCAACAGCAACGTTCAGTTCTCTTTCGCATCTTCTGCTACTTCTCAGCTTGTTCTGGAGCGCATCATGTCTCAGTCGGTAAGTTTTTCAGTCATATTACAACAGCCCTGTTAATGGCGTCTCTCTCTCTCTCTCTCTTTATAGTACATTATTAAAAAAGTATCTGTGCTGCAGGAGGTATCACCATTAACGTCTGGGAGACTTTCTCATAGTAGTGGACCTTTGAACGTCGCCGGATCTTTGACAGAAAACGATAGCCCTCCGGTTTCTCCGTCGGAAGAGTTCGACGACATCGTTAAGGTACTTCTTCTTTCCCGTATAAACCATATATATATATTTGTGTGTGTAAATGCGAAATATTCTTTTGTGCATTGATGTTATATGGTGGAAGACGGTGGGTGAAAAGACCAAAGATCTGTGCTTTTTTCTGTGTGTTCAATCCCTGCTGTGATTACGCTTACAGAGTTTTGTCCTTTTTTTACCACTTATGTTTGCAGAGAATAAGTAGTATAGAGACGGGAGCCTTTGTCTTTTTCCAATAAAATCTTTTTATTTCCATAATGATTTTCAAAAATGAAGTACTGCCCATTTATCAACTAAAGCAGCTGATTGTTTTCATTGATAAAATTCAGACCTTTACATATATGTGTATATATATATATATATGAAAATGGGAACCAATCAGAAACATATATTAAATATTAAAAGAAAGTGTAAATAAAGAGCAGCTTGTTAGCTAGGCTATGGCGGCTTTTGTTATACTTTAATCTATTTTACTTTTCTTTTTGTGGGTAATGTGAGTTAAGTGTCAAAATTTTCTTTTTTAAGTTCCTAGACGCCGAAAGAGAAATCACTCTCTGAACTTGAATTAGCTGTATATAATACTATATATATATATATGTAATGGTCATTTCATGTGTTGATTGATTTGATGCTTTAAGAGTTTTGATGTGATCACTGACCCTAGTTTACTTAAACTTCAACCTCACGCCACCCAATCTCTCATGCATATACATACATACATATATATATATATATATGTTTTTCTTTGTGATTGACAACTTGTCTTCCATTTTAAGCTCACATATGGGCTGTTCAAAGTTTCAAACTTTTGTTCTACACTTTTATGTGCCTCCGAAATGTCACACTCACATGTTACATATATATATATATATATATATTGGATGATTATAAATTAAACTCTTTTAACTTGAACACGATAATGAAAATAATTTGATCTTTCGCTATTGAATTCCTTGGTTTTTTTTTTTTTTTTACTTGTAATTGATCCTGCAGTATTTCCGTACCCACAACACTATACAACCGCTCTTCACCTCGGCCGGCGGCGGTCGAACTAGCGCCGGCAATGGCGGAACCACTCCTGGTGGCGCCAAGACTGTGGGCAGGTGGTTGAAGGACAGGAGAGAAAAGAAGAAAGAGGAAACCAGAGCCCACAATGCGCAGCTCCACGCTGCCGTCTCTGTTGCTGCAGTGGCAGCTGCAATAGCCGCCATTGCAGCTGCCACAGCGTCCTCCTCCTCCGGCAAGAACGAGCAAATGGCAAAGACAGACATGGCAGTTGCTTCGGCTGCCACCTTGGTTGCCGCACAGTGCGTGGAAGCTGCCGAAGGCATGGGCGCAGAGCGTGATCACCTTGCCTCCGTCGTCAGCTCCGCCGTCAATGTCCGCTCCCAAGATGATATTATCACTCTCACTGCCGCTGCCGCTACAGGTAATACATAAATAATCACTGAAACTATACACGTATAACGAGAAAGAGAGGAATGACACACGACGTCGTTTCCTGATTGCTAACACGCGACGTCGTTTCTTAATTGCCATTGACACAGCTCTGCGTGGGGCGGCGACGTTGAAGGCAAGAGCATTAAAAGAAGTTTGGAATATTGCAGCGGCTCTACCGACAGAAAAAGGAGTTACAGGGGTGAACTGTAAGGAAAATGGAAGAAACCATGGCGATAGCTATAGCGACGAGCTTGCCCTAGGGGAAGACTTTCTGGGTGTCTGTAACCAGGAGATTCTTGCCAAGGGCACGGAGCTTCTCAAACGAACTCGCAATGGTGAGGCTTTGTTTAATCAGCTTAAACTAATAACTAACCTTTCGAAAGATAATTAAATATACATTTCACTGTAATTAATCGTAATTACGGTGCATGTTGCAGGTGACCTTCACTGGAAGGTTGTGTCTGTTTACATCAATAAGACAGGCCAGGTGAATGACATATCCCTTTCCGCTCAAAATAATAATTACCCAGAATCTATCTCCATATGTATATATATATATATATATATAATTCATTATTCCTGAATTAGGTGTACATACAACAAAATACCCAATACAAAAAAACTTTCAAATAAGGACGTATCAACCTTTATCTATACATATACATATATATATATATTGAAATATGAGAAACTAAAACTGGCCATGGTTTTTGCAGGTGATGCTGAAGATGAAGAGCAAACATGTGGCAGGGACGATCACCAAGAAGAACAAAAGTGAGTGGCCAGCTAATTCTATTTAACTTGATATATACATAATCTGAAAGTGTATCACGAGTAACACTGAGTATGTGCGTGTATATATTGTAGATGTGGTGGTGGAGGTCTGCAAAGACATGCCGGCATGGCCGGGGAGACACCTGTTTGAGAGCGGGGAGCAGCGGCGGTACTTCGGGTTGAAGACGGAGCCACGAGGGCTTGTGGAATTTGAGTGCAGAAGCCAGAGGGAATACGACATATGGACTCTGGGAGTTTCCAGGCTTCTTGCCATCGTGAACGAAAAGAAGCTGAAGGGTTTGACTTTGACCACCAAAAATATTTAACATTTGATTTTAATGTGATTTGTTATGTAAAAAAAAAAAAAACTTTCAGAAGGAAACAATTATAGTTTGTCATTATATCTACTTATTTCTCCACGTATTTTCACTGAAAATTTCTAGTTTATATATATATATATATATATAAATACATACATCAAATATTTAAATTACTTACTATACTTGTAAAAAATATAAAATTAAATGATAATAATTGTTAATAAATGTTTGAAACTAAATTGCCACGAAAATACCTTCCATGGCCAAGTTCATGATCCATCTTACTTTCCCATCTCCCAATTACCTTAGCTCAATTCTGCTCATCCTCCTCTAAATACACTGGTTGCCGGTATACCCTTTTGTATAGCCGTTGATTGCCAGGGCTAAATTGGACTGTTTCTGAGTCCAATCACAGTGAACTCACTTCTGCTCCAAAAGTTATTAGCTCTAAATACTTTATTAGAATCCCTTCAAGCATTCTTCGCATCAAGTTGAAATAAGGGCGACTTTTCGATTGCAGCCCGGGCAAGAACGCCGCGAACTGTGGTTATTTTAGCAACCTGGGTCAAATCTTTTCCCTATTTTTAAAGGGGTTCGGCAGCAATATTTTTGAAAAAAATTTTTAGTTACTAATCTAGCTTTGTATCTTTTTACCAAATCATCTGTGCTTTATGCTTGATTTTGTAAATTCACTTGCAGCCAGGCGCTGGTAAGTGTTCCCCTTTTTTTCTTTTTATTGGGCATTGATTTCTTCCTGAGTAGCATCTCTCCAGCAAGAATGATTGAAGGCTTCAGCAAATGATTCAGGTTCATGAGAAGATTGAACTGATGGTAAAACGTGTAATTTATACACTAATGCAAAATTAATTCTAGCTTTGGATGCAGTCAAATGAATAATTTGGTACAGTGAATGTTTAGTTTAAGAAAACAAATTCATCATCAATCTTCTTATTAACAGAGTTCAAACTTGTTTCCAGCATGAGTATTTTCTTTACACAGAAACCAAAGACCTGGAGAAAAACCCAAGTCGAAAACAAGAATTTTCTTCAGCTTTCAGCAGCTCTGAATATTGTTAATAGCGAGAGGAAGAGATTTATGATATCCAAATACAAAGCTACCGCAGCCCAAATGTATTCGTCGTAAGTGTATCGCTTGATCAGATTGTCTGTATCGTATACAATGAATCCACAGAAAATGATAGACGCCAAGCAACCGTAGATCATCACAGAGATTTTACCCAGTGGGAAGAGCATCTGGATTCCATACAACAAGCAATCAAGAAATGAACTTGCAAATCATTCATCAGGAGAGGGAGAAGGAAGTTGCAGGAAGACCAACTAACCTGAATTAAAGCAAACACCAGAAGAACAAGAACAGCACCAAACAAGAAGGGTCCTAAGAAGTTGAAGTCATGGCCTCTCCGTGCAGCCCAGAATGTGTACAGAGTTAGGCTTATTACTACAACAGCCGTCAAAATGACAGATTCCAAAATCACCTTCCCTGTTGCAAAATAAATTCAAATATGAAATATGTGTTAAATGGATTCGAGTTTTCTAACCGTCTGCTATAATGAAAAGGACCACGAAATTCCTTAAGAACGAAGTCATCCATTTCTTGAGTAATCACCGCTCAGCATACTTCCCTGCTAAGTAAATCAAGCCTTGTACTCTTGCCAGACAAAGCAGATTAATCCTAGCATTCCTTGAAAATTCTACTACGTTTTCTTAGATCCTAAAACTAAATTATATCCCAAGTTAAACATACTTGATTGAGAATAACATGATTAAGGTTATAAATCCGGTATTAGCGTTGATTCAAAATTCAAAAACAAAAAAGAAACTGAGATAAAATCGTCTAACTTCTGCATCTTACAGGATTGCAAGTTACATATAACAAATTCAACCGAGAAAACTGAAGCATAAGACAGTTAAACATCTTACCGCCTACAAATTCAAACTTAACTTTCTTAGAACCTAAAACTAAATTATATCTCAAATTAAACATACTTGATTAAGAATAACATAATTAACGTTATAAATCCGGTATTAGCTTTGATTCGAAATTCTAAAACGCAAAAGAAAGTAAAATAACATCGTACAACTTCTGCATATTATAGAATTGAAAGTTACTTGTAACAAATTCAACCGCGAAAATTGAAGCAAAAGACAGTTAAATCTCTTACCGCTTGTAAATGCACATGTTAAACCGACGGAAAAAGCCAGGGAGATTGTGAAAACCCCGAGCAGCAGATAGTTCACAGGATGCTTCTGGTGATAGTAATACAGCGGACATAAAACTGCAAGCAATCCAAGAAATGGACTCAATAAAACACAAACAGAAAGCAGAAAGACAAGTAAAAAACGGGAACAGGTAAGTTCTTAAAGGCATATACCGATAAAAGGCATGATGATGAGGATTATGTAGAGCGCCAACCCAGCGCCGGTAGTAACGAAGAAAAGCGCGATCGGACGAACCGAAACAATCGTGGCGGCCACCGCAATAGTGGCGAGCAACTGTATACTTATGATCGAATAGATTTTCCGAATGAAGGCCCATCTAAGCTCGGGACTCTCCAGCATCATCGGATACAGAGGCCTTGCTCCGGATTCCAGGTCATTCTTTCTAGGCGGTACAGCCCACATCTTCAACTAGAAAATACAACAAAAATGTTTGGACGCCTGTAAAAATTTGGTGCGAAACTGAAGAAAAGTGCAAGAAAACTGACCTCGGAATTTCTGGTTTTAGGGATTGATTTCCGTGTCAGGGGAAGAGGAATGGTGGATTGCCAATAAATAACAGAATGATGGACGGGAAGGGATGAGAAAGTTCGTGATGCGTCGCGTATTTGCTTCGTCATGGGCAGTCAAACTGTGATTGTGACACGTGGAAATCAAAACTCGATGTACACGTGGAAGGATCTGAAAGATTCTAGAGCTTGGCTTAACAAATTCGTAATTATCAATCATGATTAACCTAATTTTAATTACAAAACTAAAATAAATTAATTAACATTCTTAATTAAATTTGATTTATAAAAATACATGTAAAATGATAACTTTATTCTTTTAGTTATCATTAATGTTTTAGATACCATTAATTTTTAGATAATTAAATTAGTCTAATTAAGAAATAATTAAATTAATTTGTACACTTAAATGTGTATTAAATTAATTTTAAAAATAATTAACTTGCACGTTTGTATTAAATTAATTGAAAACTAAATTTGGAAGAACTAAGTTATATGTTTGTATTAAATTAATTAAAGTAATTTATCTAATAATTATTTAATTGTAACAATTAGATAATGATATATATATATATATATGTATACATAAATTATTTTGATTATACGTTAATTTTTAAAAAAATTAGTACACGTGAATAATTAAATAGTCATCAAAACATTTAACTATATTTACTAAATCATATAATTAAACTATATAAACTAAAATATAATAAAATTAATTAATATTTATTTATTGTCGATTATGTTATGTATGAAATGGAAAATATAATTTATGATTATTTGTTAATATAATTCGTGTTGTATGATATTGACCGATTGACAAAGTTGTATATCGTTATCTCCACGTGATACATTACTACACGTCTACATTTTCCCATGATACATAATCGTTGCTCCTCAAGTAATCCATCATATACGTATACCCATATACATATATATGTATATACATACATATCTAAGCTTCACGTTCATCGTGTAATTATTGGATGAATATTGTTTACACATATATATCTATTTCATTTCAACTATACGATTGTTTTTAATAATTAAATTATTTTATTCATTAATTTATTAGGGATGGATTATGTAAATTATAAAAATTTATTTCATCAATATAACTCTTTAAATTAAGTTAAATATTTATCATTTTTAAAAAAACAAAAAAATTAAATTAAATTTTTAACTCGTTATAATTATTTTAATTAAAAAAATTTAGTTATTACATGATATTATTTTCGACAAAAAATATAATATATTTATTAAAATTTAATTTAATTATTACTATTTTATTAATGCATTAATAAATTAATTACTTATTTATATTGAACTAAATATTATAAGTACAGAATTAGTTATACATTTCAAGTGATGTTCGAGTTTGTAACTTTAAACGTGACACGTAATTATTATACTATCTTGTTGGTATATAATTATTATATTAATCTTATTTCGAGAATAATATAATTATTATTTTTAATAATATAATTTTTATTATTTTTCGAAGAGAGAATGATCCTATAATAAAATTAAATGATATGATAATAAATGAACTTATTTTATACGAATATGGTTTATGAAATTATTAGTCATTGGATCAATATAACATGGACTATACAATATATTTAATATTTTTTATAAAATAATGTGGATGACAATATAAAAATTGTATATATACTTGTTACGCAATTAATTTATTGTAATAATTTATTACGTGTTAAATAAAAATTCACACAATAATAATTATTTAAATTTAGATATACCACACTAATAATCATTAAATATGATTTTAATTTTGTAAAGTTATATAAGTATCGACTATAAATACATTACTCTTAAGAAAGTATAGACAATATTATATGATAATATTTTTAGATAATTATGAAAATTCATGATCATGGTATATTGAATAAGAAGCTTCTCAAAAACATGATCAATCTAAGAAAATACTTACCATGTGATTTGGCTATTAGGGTTATAATATATATATATATATAATATAATATAATATAGTTTTATTTTAATATTTTTTAATAATAGTAACATATTACTAACACCGATATTGATATAGATGTAAAATTATTTAATTGATATGGATGTTATAATGTTAAATTATAATCAAATTAATAATCACATTGTTAATATAAATATGTATATAGGTCTATATTTATTATTATTATTATTTTAATAATAATAATAAATTAAAATTTTATGATTTTAGTAATTACTATAATTTGTAATGTAATTAATGAAATATAATATGATATTCTATATCAACATTACTAATTAATTAATATAATATTTGTTTTAAAAATATTTTAATAAAAAATTAATTAATACACTAGAAGCCACTGACTAAAACGACGTCGATTCACTGCACCTCCCATTAATGTCGCAATTATCAGCCACTTCTCTTCAATCTTCATTTATTTAATAATTTTCTTTTACCATTTCTTCTCTCACTTTCCTCCCGTTGGAGACCAGAAAGATTGCAGCTACAGTTCGTCGGGACTACAAAACTAAACGGGAAAGAGAAAAAGGAAAAGCCTTTCGCTTTTACCAAACAAAAGATACCAAAGCAAAAGGTGGGAATTCAGAATTTTTTTAATTTTTTTTTTTCCTTTGGATCCTTCACTTTGATTTGATCTCCTCTGCTTCTTCTGCTCAGCTCGTAGACTGTGATTCGGTCTTCAATAGTAGACTCGTCCGGGTTTTGAACTGGATTTCTCTATCTCTCTCTTTCCCTTCAAATGTCTTCTGTCTTTGTTACGGTATTTAGCTCTTATCCTGGAATTGGTTGTGTTATAATCTGGGATTTTTGTTGGAATCTTCATTGAGATCTGTTGGTACTGTTTGGTGGGTGATTGGTCATTTCTGGTTTTGTTGGTTTATGTCTCGATGGTCTTGTAGAGCCCTGCAAACCCTAGTCTATCTCTATTTGAAATAGTTCGAGCGCGGCTTTGTATGATTCTGATTGCAAACAGGAAAAGAAAAGTTATTTTCTTTTTCTTTTTGGGTGTGAGGGTAACCCTTATTTCTCCTGTTAATTATATTGTGCAAAACTTTAGTTGGTATTGTATCCTCTCATTTAGGGGATAATCCGGATTGTGAGTGATTGTACATTTCTGGGTATGTTGTCTCCTTGCATTTAATGTTTTTTCAGTAGCAAAGTTTGTTTCTTTCATTTATTCTGGAAAATTTCAAAGTCTCAGCAATGATCAGTCACTCTGTGATGACTGATAATTTGAGCCCTTTTATTTCCCAGAGCAATTTTGTCTGTTTTTGAGTTCTGGGGAGAGAAAATTTTATCTGGATATTGTGGAGATCTGGGACTTGCTTCATCTATTGTGTCCCATGAGGACCCTTTTTCCATCTGATTCTTGCAAAGAATCGCAACTCAATGCTCTCAATCCACAGTCCTGGCTCCAAGTGGAAAGGGGGAAGCTTTCCAAATTATCAACTCATTCCTCCTCTTCATCTATGTAAGTTTCCCAGTTGACTTTCTTTATTCCAATAATTTGATTTTATAGTTTTTGCAATGAATTGAGATATATTTTATTTCTTCTGTTGTGAAATATGAAAGAGAATCATTTATCAAGGTCCTCAACCGCCAATACTGCCATTCTTTAAACCTGTCGATTATGTAGAAGTTTTAGCTCAGATTCATGAAGAACTTGAGTCCTGTCCTCCACAACAGAGGTCAAATCTCTATTTGTTACAGTTTCAAGTATTCAGAGGTCTAGGGGAAACCAAATTGATGCGAAGGAGCCTCCGCTCTGCTTGGCAGAGGGCTAGCAGTGTTCATGAGAAACTTGTGTTTGGCTCATGGTTGAAGTATGAGAAACGAGGGGAAGAGCTTATTTCTGACTTGCTTACCACTTGTGGCAAATGTGCAGAAGAATTTGGGCCAATCGATATTGCTTCTCAGTTTCCAATTGATATAAATGTGACTTCCCATGAGAGTATGTCGATGAGTGGGAACCAAATATCATCAAATGTCATATTTAGGATTGGAAAGGAGAAAATAATTTGCGATAGGAGGAAAATTTCGGCCCTTTCAGCTCCATTTTATGCTATGCTCAATGGATGTTTCACAGAATCTTTTTGTGAGGACATAAATTTGTCTGAAAATAATATATCACCTTCTGGCATGAGAGCAATTAGTAAGTTCAGTGAGACAGGAAATTTGAATGAAGTTCCCCCAAATCTTCTGTTGGAAATATTAGTTTTTGCAAACAAATTTTGCTGTGAAAGGCTCAAAGATGCATGTGATAGGAAGCTGGCATCCTTGGTTTCTTCTAGGGAAGATGCTGTAGAGCTCATGGAATATGCTACTGAGGAAAGCTGTCCTGTTCTTGCTGCATCATGTTTGCAAATTTTTCTACATGAACTGCCTGATTGTTTGAATGACGAGCGCGTGGTGGAAATATTTAGAAATTGCAACAGACAGCAAAGATTAATCATGGTTGGACAAGCTTCATTTTCTCTTTATTGCTTGTTAAGTGAGGTTGCTATGAAAATTGATCCTCAGTCAGATAAAACATCTTGCTTCCTAGAACGACTAATTGAAACTGCTGAGAATGACCGACAGAGACTGTTGGCTTTTCATCAGTTAGGATGTGTGAGGCTCTTCAGGAAAGAGTATGATGAAGCCGAGCAGCTTTTTGAAGTGGCTATAAGTTTAGGCCATGTGTATTCTGCTGCAGGTTTGGCAAGAATTGGTTACATTAAGGGTCATAAACTTTGGGCTTATGAGAAGCTCAGCTCTGTGATATCCTCTGTTGCTCCGCTTGGATGGATGTATCAGGAGAGGTCAATGTATTGTGAAGGTGATAAGAGATGGGAAGACCTTGAGAAGGCAACCAAATTGGATCCTACCCTCACTTACCCGTATATGTATCGAGCAGCTTCCCAAATGAAGGAACATAATGCGCAAGCTGCACTGGCAGAGATCAATCGCATTCTTGGGTTTAAACTTGCACTAGAATGCTTGGAACTGCGGTTTTGTTTCTATTTAGCTCTTGAAGATTATCAAGCAGCCCTTTGTGATGTTCAGGCAATTCTTACACTTTCCCCAAATTATAGAATGTTTGATGGCCGGGTGGCAGCATCACAACTCCGTACACTAGTGCATGAACATGTTGAGAATTGGACAACTGCAGATTGTTGGTTACAGTTGTATGATCGGTGGTCTTCTGTTGATGACATTGGATCCCTCTCTGTAATCTACCAGATGCTTGAATCAGATGCAGCAAAAGGTGTTCTTTACTTCAGGCAGTCTTTGCTTCTCATTAGGTATGTGTTCCCACTTCATAACTTTAAATCATTTGTTTTATGATCTGCTATATCTTAAAAGAAGGCTGGATATGAACCTATTGTTTCATTAGCATTTTATACCGTTCTTCATGGTGGATTCTGCCCTTAGTCTTTGAACTTTACAGGAAATTCAGCTTGTCCCTAACTTTGGAATCATTTCAATCTTTTATAATGCTGTTAGTCATGGAGTTAAGCATTTAAAAGTCACTGTTGTATGCATATGCATAGAATTTCTAAAAATTAGTTACGGATGACTTAATAAGATTGCAACAGAAAAGAAAAAGATGTGGACCATTATTCACATGTATGCCAGTGTTTCTTGATTTTATTACGTAAAATGAGTTAGCATTTATGAAAAAAGATAAATAGATAAGTCAAAATTACAATGCAAAACTATACTACTGTAGTACTGGAATTGAGTTGTGCACAATTACGTCTTACAAAGTTTTTTTTGTTACAATTTGGTCCATTGGACTTACAAATTGTTTCAGGTGATGATCTTTTTTGGGGAAGCTTTTTGATAAGAGCAGTAGAAACTATTTCTTTCTTATCTTGATAACACAAAGAAAGAATTTAAAGGTATAACACTTGTAATAAACGCGAGTTAAGATTTCATATCAAAAAACAATCCAAAACTGATTCTTGCAGGCATCTTCTTCTTCCTATTATAATCTACATTGTTTAAAATAAAGTAATCGATAATTAAGTAATTGATAGTTCTTAATCATTAAATTTATTAATTTTAATTCCCAGACATTATAACTTCCAGTCTCCAAAAAAAGAAAAAGAAGAAAATACAACATAAAGTGTGGGTAAAACACAAAGAACTGTTTTCATTTTGTCAAACTTTTCATAGTTTTATGAAAAAACACTTACTGAGATAATTTTGTAAGTTCAGGGGCCAAATTGCAGAAAAAATTTTGAACTCTAAATGTAACTTGTCCTATAGTTAAGGATTAAAATAGTAATTTGCCCTAAATTTAAAATGAAAATTATGTCCACCTGTACTAATGGTAACTGGGATTAGTTTGAAGGACAAGCTTCATACAAATAAATTGAACATTTAAAAGACTTTTTTTGGTAAAGAACTTTCGAAGGACTTGATTGACCCTTTAACCCGATAAAAGAACAAAAGGAAATGAAAATCACCCTATAAATCAAAAGATAAAGAATAATTAACCCCTCATGTATCTGTGCTCATTTTTTATAAATATCCAGTATAAAGTTTGCCTCCGAGCACTCTTCGTAGTTGGATCATCCTGACTAATTTCTTCTTCGCTACATATTCATTTCATCTCCCTTATAGTTTTTTCTGTTAATTCTAAAAGCATCACTATGTTTATTTAGATTTTGAGTTTCTTATTGAGCATTATGAAGTATCTTTATACCTGAACTTAGTACCACATCAATCAACACGGCATATGTGGTCTTCTGAATTAAACCATCACATCTTTACATCAACAGGTTGAACTGTCCTGAAGCAGCAATGCGGAGTTTGCAGTTAGCTCGTCAACATGCATCCAGCGATCACGAACGTTTGGTTTACGAAGGGTGGATCTTATATGACACTGGTCATTATGAGGAAGGACTTCAAAAAGCAGAGGAATCAATAAAAATCAAGCGTTCTTTTGAGGCCTTCTTCCTTAAAGCCTATGCATTGGCTGACTCTAGTCTGGATCCGTCTTGTTTTTCAACAGTTATTTCACTGCTTGAAGATGCTTTGAAGTGTCCCTCTGACAGGCTGCGGAAAGGGCAGGTATATATTCTCTTTCTGTACCTGTCCAGTAGAGATTTTCTTCTCTTGATTTTGCTTTTGAATTAATGGTTATTAGCTTGTTCTCATCAGTTCAAAAGAGCGTATATTTCTTTCTTGGAATTTGGTTTCCCAATGTTCTTTTTTTTTTCTGATTCTTTTAGGATATCTCTTTTCTTATTTTGAATTTAGTTGATTTTAATCTCTTTAGCGGGTTCTGGTTTAAGAACGCAACGTTTAAGGAGTACTTGGTGAATCATTGCAATTGTCTATGATATCTCAACGAGTTTAAAGTGCACGAAACTACCACCTGTACCAGACCATCATGTTCATCTCAAACATCATTGCTGTGTCCCCCAACCCCCCCTCCATTACCCCATTCCCAGCTGAAATTTGTTCCAAGAAAATGAAAAGCTACAGACTAGGAATCTACAGGAAACTATGTCACGGCTATCTCCCCCACATTCCCCCTCCATTACCCCATTCCAAGCTGAAATTTGTTCCAAGAAAATGAAAAGCTACAGACTAGGAATCTACAGGAAACTATGTCATGGCTATCTCCCCACATTCCTCCTCCATTACCACGTTCTAGAAACTTGTGCAAGAAAATGGAAAGATATAAACTGGGAATCTGCAGGATACTAACCATATAGGAGACCACCTATTCAAGTGACTAACTATATTGCAAAATGTACAACTATATAGAAAAGCAGTACCTATGCAAGTGACTAACTATATTAGAAAACGTACAACTATATAGAAAAACAGTACTCTATAATCTAACAGCATCCTAGGAAACCTTGGATTTCCATTTAGAAAGCTGGCGTATGCTTCTGAGGTTTAGCTGCTTTTGAAATGTGGCTAACTTACAATTATTAGCATTATATTTAGAGTGACGAGATGTTTAGTTACAGTAATCGATTTGACGTAAATCAAGGTGATTCCCAACAAACGGCTGCTAAATACTTGGCATGGTTTAGATGAAAGTTTTTGACTGGTGTTTCATCTCATTCTAATTTTGGTGTGTATTATGAAATATAAATAAATAACTTGAATCTTGAAACACTTTCTAATCTTTTGTTTTTGGCATCCTTTATTATGCCAGGCACTGAACAATCTGGGAAGTGTTTATGTTGATTGTCGGAAATTAGACTTGGCAGCTGATTGCTACATTAATGCCCTTAAAATTCGGCATACACGAGCCCATCAGGGTCTAGCTCGGGTTCATTTTCTTAGAAATGATAAGGTTGCTGCGTATGAGGAAATGACAAGACTGATTGAGAAGGCTAGGAATAATGCATCTGCATATGAGAAGCGGTCTGAGTACTGTGACCGTGAACTCACAAAAGCAGATCTGGAGATGGTCACCCGATTAGATCCACTCCGAGTTTATCCTTACAAATACCGAGCTGCAGGTCAGATTATTTTCCTTCTTACCCGAATAACTGATCACTAATTACTGGGATTAACTTAGAATTGCATTATATAATTCGTGATTTAAGGGTAGAGCCTTGATAAGTGGAAATTGGAAATTCAGAATTTAAGGTATAGCTAGAGAATGAAGCAAAAGAGAAACTGCATTGTAATTCTTATTTTATGTTTTCACTGGAGCAGTATTAATGGACAGCCACAAAGAGAAGGAAGCGATTGCGGAACTCTCAAGAGCGGTTGCTTTTAAAGCAGACCTTCATCTTCTTCACCTGCGAGCAGCGTTCCACGAGTACATTGGCGATGTCTTTGGTGCTCTACGAGACTGTCGTGCTGCACTTTCTGTCGATCCAAATCATCAAGAAATGTTGGAACTTCATAGCCGTGTAAACAGCCATGAACCTTAAAAAAGAATCTGCAAAGAAAGCTAAAAAAGAGGAACAGGGAGAAAGACAGTGTAGAACAAAAGATTAAATTGTATAATTTGTGTATTAGAGCAAAGCAAGACTCTGCATCTCTTAGTTCCAATTTTTTTTTAGTCTTTTTTTTTTTTTTTCTTCTCATTTTGTAATTAGTCTCTTTACATTTTGATCATCAAATTAATGAATGTCTATTCACCCTTTTTTTTTTTTCTTTCTCTTTTAATTATAATTATTTAATGTGTAGAATTTAAATTTGGATATGGAATTTATTTAGATTAAAGTACTATTTTAATTCAAATCTTTAAATATTACAAACTTAATATTAAAATTATAACAATTAAATTATTCTACAATATCTTACAACTTTTTAAATTTATTTCACACTTAGAAAATAACAAAATAATTTATATTAATGGAAGTACTTAACAGATGCAGGTTGATGGGAGGATGGAGGACCTCTTCAAAACCCATGTCTGCATACATGTATATAAACACTGTTTTTGCAGATTTTATAGGTTTTTTTTTATTAAACATAGAAGCTAAAACAGATTTCTTTTGGGTATGTTGCAGTTGGAAGGGATCATTTTAAGCTCCCAAACAAGTATTATTACTATTTATAACAAAATTTTATCCAAAAAACACTTGGGCTTAGAAGCGTTCCGACGATCATTCTCAACTGCAATAATCCGTTCAAATGTTACAGGGCGGAGTCATTAACGACCATTACAGTACAGCAGGAATAGTTAACTCGTGTATAACTCATGCACGAGAGCCATTTAAATAGTTTTATCAAGACGTCACATTCATTCAAATGTTACGGGGCAAAGTCGTTAACGATCATTGCAGTACAACAGGAATAGTTAACTCGTGTATAACTCATGCACGAGAGCCATTTAAATAGTTTTATCAGGACATCACAGGGCAAAGTCGCATAACTGTTACCACTAAACTATCTAACCTAATACAGCGAAGCTAAAATAAGAATAGTTTAGTTGAAATCCAATAGTTGTTACCAATCGAGCAAAATATGTACTGCAAACTATGCTACAAGTTTTCCTCATTTGGATGTTAGACAGTGAAATAATAATTACCTTTAGGGAATAAGAAACCTGAGTGACAACTGTAAACTTCCTATGAACTCATCCTTTCGGAGTTGGGAGGAGATCGGAAATAAGGGTGCTGCAAAGCATCATCGATGCTTAATCTATCCTCCTGTAAATCAAATCCAATTACAAACAGACCTTCAGTTCAATCATGCGTGGGATTTGCTGGTAATAGTAATTGAGTAGCCAGTTTTGTAATAAAAAGTATAGAGGTGTAGCTTGAAAAGGAGGAAATAGTACGCTCAATCAATCATTTATGCTCTCTTCTTGTTATCCCCATGTCATGAATGAACACATCATCCATCCTCTAGATGCCA